TACTTTGATCTATTCTCTTAGGCGCTTGGTCCAGACTTTGGGTGTTGCTAGCGGTTCAACGTGAGGCCGAGCCGCGAGATGAATTTGATCATCCGCATGGTAAGTTATTCGTCCTCGCTTTCGTACACCTAGAATTACATTCCCGCATTCGTCTAATCAGGCACGTCTCATGGGCTCTATCTCCCAGCCTCCAACGACTTTGGCAAAAGGGACGAATACTTCGCGAAGCAGAGACTCAAATAATCAAATTAACGCTGAGCAGGGAAAGCAAAACCCGGGCAAGCTGCCGGGCAAAGAAACAGCCCCCAGTGGACACCACAAAAATAGCCCCCAGCAGACACCAACCAAACCCATGCAAGCCATGCTCACAACATAAACTCCACACTCCTGCAAGCCCGCAGATCTGTATTTCCAGAGTCGCCGAGAGGGGAAACCTGCAGCATGGGGGCACGAGGGGAATAGGATGAACAACGAGGTTCAAAATAATGAAGATAATCATCATCATCTCTCATCTCACCCTCACTCCCAGTCTCCCACAAAAAATAGGGAAACGAGTAATTTATTCCCCCGCGCAGAAAATGGGAACCAAGCACATGGCTTTGCCAGGGACAAAATCCCCTTTGGGCACACAAAAACTGGAAAATCAGGCAAATGACACACGGCAACTATCCCTACACGAGTCGCAAAAGTATCCGTACGGAGCATTTTCACACAACTTTGTGAAAGTCAATAGAGAATAATCTCCGCCGCCCATCGGTGAATTGATTGTGCTTATCCGTACCCAGGGACGTGGGCGACGGCAAACTTTACGTACCTGTCTCGGGTACCGCTCTCTCTTCCCAATGAGGAAGAAAAATGGGCAAAAGGGCTTCACTGATTACTTGTTTCGATGTTGGATACCCAGACCAAGGCTAGCGGGAAATGAATGGTGACAGCGGCCGATTACGAGATGTATCCGAGCTTCTACTAATTCCTTCCCCGTCCCGCTGAGTGAGCGAGCAAACGAGATGGGATGCTTGCTATGACGCCCAGTGTCGCGGGGACCTTCGACCACACCGCTGGGGCAGGTTCGTGAGAGCATCAGCTCATTCGGCCGATGACTTTTTAGGGTGTCAATTAATACTACCACGACGGATTGACAAACCGCGTCTCACATGATGTGCAAGTTGCATGATGTACTGTAACCCGAGGCTCATTATCCCCCTTCAGTGTCATTTCTCATCGAGATATTATTATACACTCTCTTGTTTCATGCCCCCCGGTGCCCGTGAAATGCCAAATCTTCATAGCCTCTCTCCATTCGCCAGCCCATGCGTGAATGTCAATGAGAAGTCCAACCATGTCCATGCTTTATCGTCGGGTCCTTCCAGCGGCCGCTCGCACGTACAAAAAGAGAGACAACCCGCTGTCTCGTCCCAATATATAAACCCCGTCCTGGCGCGAGGACATGGGGAAGTGTTGAGTTTCGTAAGAAAAATAGGTACAAAAAGGACAGTATCCCGCTACAAGTGCAGCGGCAAGAGCCCAAAGAATCGAAGAGGGGGGTATCTGTTGCAACGCAAAGACTATGTGATGGGAGCCAGGAAAGGGCTGAGCATCAGCTCGTCCGCACTCGGCCGCAGGTTGTGATCCATCTCAAAGGTCTGAGCAAGGAAGGTCTTGGCATCTTCAGAAGCGTGCTCCGGAATCGTGGGAGCCGCCTTACCGCCACCAATCTTGAAGATGGCCTGCAGCTGACTGCAGTCGGGGTACGGATGTGTGCCTGTCATCATCTCAACAACCAGGCATCCGAGCGACCAAATGTCGGCCTTGCGGGTGTACGAGGTCTGCTTGACAACCTCGGGGGCCATCCAGAAGACGGAGCCCTGGAGGGAGGGGCGGTGCTTGTTGTTGTTCGCGCCGGACAGGATGTTGGTGGCTTCAAGCTTCTTGGAGATACCGAAATCGGAAATCTTGATAGTGCCCTTGTTGTCCACGAGGATGTTGGCGCCCTTGATGTCTCGGTGGATAATCTCGCGATCGTGCAAATACGACAGACCAGTCAAAATCTGGCGGACAAAGCTGCGCACAAGAGGCTCTCCAAGAGCGCCGTACGAGTTGAGCATGGTCTGGACGGAACCGCCAGGAACGTACTCGAGGAAAATGTTGAGGTACTCGGTAGACGAACTGCAACCCAGATACTGAACGATATTCGGGTGTCGAAGGTCGCGGAGCAGACTGATTTCCCGCTTAAGGGCCTCGATCATGCTCTTCTTGCGTGCGTCGTTTTGGCTGTTGGCGCCCGGAGCTGGCGCCTCGACCTGCTTGACGGCAAGAAGCTCACCGGTCACGGCATGCAGGGCGAGGTAGACACAACCGAAGGAGCCTTGACCGATGAGGGCTCCCTTCATCCACTTGTCGTCAGACCAGGACTCTCCTGCGAGGAAGCTCTCGAGCTCCTCGTCGGCGTCCTCGCCGTCTTCATTGAGCGCCGCCGTAAGATCTTTGAGGGAACCTGAACCCGTTGAGCCGTCGGTCTCGAAGTAGCTTCGCCGCGTAACGTTACCTTCGGGGTCCGTCACGCTGAGAGCGGCTGCACTAGCACCGTCGGAGCTGTCGGCGAATGACACGTAGGACTTGCGGTTCGGTTCGACAGGCGACTCCTCTTGCAAGGTGTCGAGCATTGAAGAGGCGACGGAGTCGCGGAAGTGGGTGACCCGCAGGCCTGATCGCGCCTTGGGAGCACTACCGGCGTGGAGCCAGCTGTCAGCGATGGTCGGAATAGGGGGTGCATCTTGGATGCTAGACGCGAAGCTGAGGTTGCTAGCCACACTCAGACGGCTGTTGACCTTGCTCAGACGGGTTGATCTTCTCATGGACAGACGAGCGGTCCTGTCAATCTCCTCTCTGGGATGATCCGGGAAATAAGATGTGAGGTCCGAGGCGATGAGCTCGCTGGGAGGACGCAACCCGCCAAACGACCGCAAGATGCCCTTATTCCTCCTGGGTCCGCCGGCAGATCTTGGGCCGTCGTTGGATGCGGGGCGCTCCAGCTCCTTGGCGGTATTGTACACGTTGCGCTCCCGGTCGTGGAAAGAGACCGGTGAAAGAGGATGTTGCAGCTCATCGTTCCATCTCTCACCCAGAAGCTTTTGCACCTTCATCTGGCTTCTCTTATCCACAGTCTCGAGGGCGCGGCTGTGATTTTGCTGCGCCTCCTCAATGGCGATGCCCGCTGCTCTCTCGAGCTCGGGCATGCCTGGCTCACCAGCAGGGACACGGCGAAGAATCAGGCGATTCCGTTCAGGACGTTTCTGGTCCTTGATAATCCGCCACAACTCGGTATCGCCGAGTCGCCGGCACTGGTTCGGGTCTGGCTCAATGCCGGCCAGTACCCAGAAGCAGTAGTTCCTCTCATGATCCTCTCGTAGTGCAAACTTCCTAAGGGTGACTCGCATGACCTCCTCACACGTGTTGCAGTCGGCGATTTTGACGACCTTTGTGACTCCTCCGGTGGAAATGACGCGGATAACATCCTGATTCTGCGGTAAGCCAGCCATCAGTGAACCATCCATACTGGAGTTATTCCTGGTATGGGAAGTTACCAATCGGCCGGTCTGGGGGACGGATTGCCCGGCGCTACTCACATAGCCGGGACTTTGGCCATATCTTGTTCGCAGAGGGCGGATGGCATCCGTGCCGGGAAGGGGTGAGTTGGGACGGGAAGAAGCGCTCTCCAGGGGAAGGGAGTCGTATTGTCTGGAGTAGCGCTTGTTCATGGAAGGCGTGGGCGCGGTACGAGCACTTGAAGCAGATGGTCGAGAAGACCCGCCCGACGACGGGGTGAATTGGTCGAGGCCACCGAACGAGTCCTGCAGTGGTCAAATGTCAGCTGTGTTACCCATTGCTGACGGCATATGACGGTGCCGCGAGAGGAGAAGCCGGTCTTGCACGTACCCTATTCCGTTTCTTCTGGTTGGCGTAGGCCTTTGTCCTCAACTTCTTAATGCCCAGGAACAGTCGCACGCGGTCGCCGACCTTTTCGATGCCCATCTCCTTGAGGACATCCTTGTCGAGCTCGAGGAGGTTCTCGCCATTGATGTGGTTCTTACGGAAGAGCTTCTCGTACTCGCCGCATTTGACGCTCCTCAAATAGTCGCAGACCTTGTCCTCGTCCCAGTTCTTGACGGCATCGGGGCCATCGCTCTCGGAGAATTCGGATTCGGTCGGGCTGGCGTAGGCTGTGGACTGGTTCGAGATCGTGGGTGCCCGTCTTGAGGGCGGTGCGGCACCGGTAGAAACGCTAGAAACCATGGGATTGCTGGAGCCCAGCGGTGCCGGGAATGCGGTTTTGGGGGCCAGCATTGCCATCTTGTAATTGTGATACGTCAGGTGGACATTGACTGAAGTGAAGTTGACGTGGTCGATGGCGGTGGTGATCGCGGGAGGGGTTTGTCTCAGCTGCCTCTCCTGGAGCGCGTCGTGCCGAGAGAGGATTCCGTCAGGCAGGTTTCCGAGACAGGGAACAAGGCGTCGGGCCGGATGCGATAGAAGCGAAGAAGCTGCGATATAGCGAAAATGTGGAATGTAAGTGTCTCTCGCTGGATCCGAGTTGGGGAATGTCGAGCCTCTTCAGTGCCGGACCGTAAAGGCCTGGTTTCTGCTTGGAGACGCAGAGGAGGGAATTTGGTGAGGGCGAAGGTCGTGTGTGGAATTACGGGTACTTCGGCCGGGAGGGAAAAAGAGGAGGGAAGGGGAGGGTTAATGATGGATTTTGGGGGTGCAGGGGACTTGCGCTTGAGAGCCAGCGGCAGGGAGGGGTGTGTGAGTGGTGCAGGTGTAAGCAGCCTCAGAGGTATCTTCACACACAAGTTGGGATGCGAGATACTTCATCTACGGGTGGGCAGCAAGCACCACCACAGAGACTCTACCTGAGGTGAGCGACCACAGACCATACAGCAGGGGGCAAGGTCAGAAGAGGGGAGGGCGGCAACAAGCTTCCAATGCTGCTTCTTCCTTTGTCACTTTGTGTGCTGTCGCAGCAGTCCGTGAAAGGAAATGGACTTGGCTGAGGCTCCAATGCAAAGAGGGATCTCTCTGAGGTGCTGTGTGTGTACAACCTTGGAACAACGGACGGTATCACTGTATAGCAAAGCAAAGCAAAGCTGAGCTACAAAACACGAGATTTGCAGGCCGCACAGTCCTCGCAACGGCCCTGATGCGTCTGTTCGCTTGAGGCAGAAACTTGGGGGAAACAAACACACTCGAGAAGCTTTCCGCAGAGTCTGCCCTTGAATCTTGGGCTTTTAGCCACTGTGACAGAGAGAGAAAGGCAACGTTGCAAAGGGGTACGACGACGATGAGGCGTACGGCAAGGTTTTGTTCGCGTTGTTTGAGGTCTGGTCTTTTGACGTATTGTTCAGCTATCCCCTGGTCTTCTTCGTCACCGAGTCTTTGGGTACGGAGTAATGTTTCTTCATTTTGCTTGGGCATGTTATCTACCTGCCATACAGGCTTACACAGTACTCCGAAGAGGCTTACTATGTGTGCTAGCAATGTGTCCCAAGATGCCGTCAAAGAGCCTCCATCTCTGGCCAACTTGCCCGGTTCCCTCGGGTTTGCGGTCCACTCAAGAGCGACATTACACGGCAAAATGGCACGTCGATTCAACAAGGTTTTCGCTGGCCAAAGGCTTCTTCTGTTTCTCTCTCCTCTCCTTCCACGATGAGTCTCAGGCGCGATGGCGGATCATGGATGGAGTAGCCAAGCCCCTGTATGCACCCTTGGCAACATGGCAACCTTTAAAAGGGCGTTTGCAAGGGTATGGCGACGGCGGCGGCTTCATGAAACTGGCTCAAGCAGGGTCAACGCCGCACGTCCCCACCCAAACTTTGGCTCTGCAGCGGCACCTGCCCTCCTCAGTCAGTACCTGCCCTGAGCTGTCGTGACTCCTCATTAGCACTTGCCCTCACTGCTTGACTGCCCAGTCAGTACTTTCCAAGCGCATTTTACTGCCCATCACTGAGGAAGGTACTCTAGGTTGAAAGACTCTGGAGCGTGCCTTCCCATGCTTCCAACCAGAAACATGGACAATGTACCTGAGGAAGTCCTGAGGAATTACACAGCCGTGAGCCGTCTTACCCCCCCCCCCCCCCCGAAACGTCCCCAATATCCCCCAATGTGTCCCCAACATGTAATTTGCCCTCCTCAATGCGCCGTCATGCAACCCCCGCCGCCTAGCCAATCGCCGCCAAGTCGATATCTCGTGTTCTTGTATTGCAGTGTGCCACAAGAGACCCTCTCGTGCTTCTGATGCATCACGGCCTGTTCATCATGACGACCACACACATTAGAGCCTGCAGGGACTCTGAGAAGAAAAGAGGTGCAACAAAATAGCAACCACGTCCAGCCACGGAGTCCGTGAACAGTGGCAGATGGGCGGGTGGTAGTTTGTTTATTCAGTTGTGCCGACCAAGCTCAAGTTGTTCTTCAAACAAATCAGAGAACACCCCGGCTTCTCGCTCACCTCTGGAACAATCCTACACGCGCCCATCCGAGTCTTTCTCTGCTATTCTTGGCCCGTCAGCAAACCCGCTTGGTTGCGCGCGCCGCCCGCCCCTTGCTTGCAAGACTGTTCCTATTCAAAGCCTCAGACTCTGTTCGCCAAAGCCACGTCACGGCGCCTCTCTTCGGACCTCGACCGCCCTTGACTCCCGACAAAGATGGGATGCAATTTCCTCTGGAACACAATCTTCCACAACGATGGCTTCGGCCATACCATGAAAGCCACCGAGGCGTACGAATACCGAGTGGTTAGTAGCCACGCCATCATGCACGGCCTCGCCTCCGTGGTGCCAGACGTCGTCTTATCGTCAGCCTACCCGTAACCCGCCCGCAGAGGCCTGCTCACGATCCCTTCTCGGGTGCAAGTGACAAGGCGGCCCGCCAAACGTACACGTTGGCATGCCATGTTCCGTGGTCTCTTCTATCCATCCGGATACACACCATGGCCCGGCATGAGCTCTCCACAACAATACCCGGCTCCTTGGAGGAGGTCACCGTCGCAACCGGACGCTGTCAACAACAAGAGCTTGTCCGTCTCGCCCGGATCACGAGAGGGTCAGAGATCCCCGCTGCGATGATACCTCCGCCGGTTCCACTCTGCTTGGGACGATGACACGATTACACGATAGGCGAAGATTGGTTTTGCCGCTGGCCAACAGGCGGAGATCTGGTCTGTTGAATGGACGCCATACAATGGAGCCGACTCCTTGCAACGTGATAGGCCTAACGAGCAGACCAACACACCCTGATAATTTGGCTGCAATCCCCTATTTGCTTTCTCAGCCTGCCAGGAGGAGCAGGTCGCCACCAACCATCGTGAACTACCTATCAACGAACCAAGAGGTGCCCGCTAGGGAAGTCAGGTGTAAGCTGTTCGCCGAGGACAGCACAACAGAACTGCAGGAGTTCACAGTGACAAGGCCGGTGGAAGATTCGCAGAGGCCGGCAGCATGGCCTGCGTCCACCGGTGATTGGCTACGGCGCACTCCCGCACTCAACTCGGGGCTGGATCGCTTGAAACCAGTCGTGTCGCACGTCTCGACACCCTCTCCGCTGCCCTGCATCCCTGGTTTCCCTCCTCTGGGCGCCAATATCCCGCCGTGTCTTCACTGCTCCTTCGTTGGACACCAGGGACTACCAAGACTTGACCACCACGGCACCACTGCGCTTCATTACTTCACCAGTCTCCATATGGGAATTGGCTCGCAAGACTGGGGGAACTCGGGGGAGCTACGGAGCGTCCTTTCTACTTACCTTTCGGCGTTGGCGCCCCCTCAGATTAATTAACACGGCGACGCCAGTCTGAGCCCAAGGCACGTCTAACGTGGAGAGGGCGTTCACCGTCACTTTGCGCATCGTGGATCATCCCGGCTGGGCCTCACCCCTTCCAGAGCCTCTTTGCCTTCTTTGGCACATCTCGAGCCAATCACCAACATTGTCATTTCGAGCCGCCTTTTGACTTTTCTCTGCTTGTAAGAGGCGCCATGTGACACACAGCTGAGCTCTGGACGGCGCACTTATTGTTGTGGCACCTCTGATTACTACGAAAAATCAGGGCTAGGAGACATCACAATGTTCACCTGACATGTGTGTACACAGAGTACAGATGTACGTCACCTTTCTTTTTCCTGCAACCTTTTGACCCACGGTCTGCGAAATCGACAGTGCTGAGGTGCCATTCATTCCACGGCATGTTGGTGGATTTGGTTACGCCAACGCTGCTATTTTGGAAAGATACGCAGCCGTTTGTGCCGTCGTCGCACAGAAGGACGCGCAGGGCACCTCATGCTTATCCCCATCTGCTCCTGATGCTGATTCTTCGGCGAAAGCAGTCCGCGACTGTGGGGACATGCAGTGACTGCAGTCATGCGAAGGAAATGAGTTATGGCCCGATCACCGCTTGGTCGCCACCCAAGGAGAGGGGAACACATACGGTCAACCAAGACTTGGCATTTGCCGACACAGATGACTCCTTGAAAACTGACGATATTCCCAAATATGTCCCCTAGAGCGCGCCGCTCACGTTTCAGACCAGACCGCCTGGAAACCATCCAAAAAGAGTGTGTTCTTCTGCAGAGCAATCCTAGATCCGGCCGTCTGGTCAGCTAAAATGGAGTGCCAACGTGGCCTGGTCAGAGCGGGCGTCAACAAGCCTGAAACATGAAACCTTGGAAGATCTGCCTTGCATATATCTCGTTGCGGTACAAACATTTCGGCCTGGTGCTAATCCCCCTCATCCAGAGAAAGCCATCGGTCCTAGCCACGCTGCCACTCTGCAATAAGCGATGGAGATCGGCTTGTGGGAAGGTCTTCTCCCGGCGCGCCGGCACCTCACTACCCTTCCTAGCTGCTCATCACGGACGACGACCCTTGCTGCTTCTGCTTGAGCCTTGTCGTGTCGTTCAAACTTGACGTCGTCAGCCGTGGCTTGTGTGACCTTTGACCGGTGGCCTTCCACGTGGACAGGGTTCCAAAGAAACAGAAACATGTTGAAAGACCAAGATGAGGCCACGACCGCCTTGTCGTCGCAACTAACACCACTCGCGATGAACTTTCGAACTCGTATCGCGGTCTACGGAACGGGACCGAGACCGAAGGAGTCGCTTGCTGCCTCCGTGTTGCTATGAAAGCTACGGGGTAACTTTCACCACTGTCCCAGCATTCCCTGCTCCTTTCCAAAGGCCCGGTTCAAAGCAGCTATTGCGCCATAGATGCCGTGCTTCACCCCTGCAGCAGATTCGAAGCATCACAGCAGCATGAACATTGCAGCTTGTGAGAGACGGGGTTTTCGCAGAGAGTCTGAGAAGGAAAGAAAAAAGTCTACTCGAAATTGAAGGGGAGTAGAGTTGCGACGAACTCCCAGCTGGGATTGGTGCGGAAACGCTAAACAATCCAATCAGGCACGCCAGGATGCGCCACTTACCGCCAGCTTCGGACGAAGTCCATGCTCCACACAGCTCCGCCGCCACCGCCGCCCCCGCCACGGCGACCATGAGTTCCTATTTTGGCACTGTCGGCAAGTCGGCCCGTCGGGCGGGTCGCCGGTCCCCGCATGGACGGCTATCGGCTTGGCCATCTGCCCGGCATCAACGGAGAAAGAGGAGTCTCGGGCTCCGGAAGGTTTGCGGCCTGAGCATAACCACGCCGTTCCGGGCGCATGACGCTGCGGCGATCATGACTCAACCGTCGTTTCGTGTTTCTCGTGTACGCGGGCTCATCGGGATGGCTGACGAGAGAGAGGTTTTGCGGACAGGACGAGTCTCTGTCTCCTAGCATTATCGTCGTCAGTTTTCCAGTGGTTCCGTCTGAGTCTCGACAGTATCCTTTATCTCGTTCAGAGAACTTGCCATCACAAAAACGCAAAACTCATTCTGTTTCAAGTACAAGGTCTCGTGATGCCGCCATTGTGGTTGCTGACTGATTGACGTGTCGATGCTTAGCTGATGGGTGAAGCGACTTGGCCGGTGCTAGATGAGCAACACCCTGTGACGGCACGAACGCCAGACCAGCGTGAGCAATCAAACATGTCGTCATCTTATCTAGGGCCTCCTATCAAGGACCGGCGAGCTATCAGGACTGCTTCACTGGGAAGAAACACATTTCCTTGGAAATGGCGGGGCGTGACGGTGTTGTGTATGATAAGACACGGACGGCAGTCGGCCGGCTGAAGATATGAGCGGCAGTCAAGGGTGACCGCCTTTGCTAATAGTCCGATGGCCCCCTTTCGCTACTGAGACCGCTGTGATATCATCTACGTCCAATGTTGTCGCAGACATACACACGGCAGCCGAAGACTTTTGGTCTGATACAACTGGCAAGCACACCTCGCGAGACCAGAACAATCGTCGGAATTGAGCACACGCTTAAAGCGTGTTGTGCATACCAACGCAGAGTGAAAGTACCAACAAGGAGACACCCTCAACATACGCACATGACCCAAGTTGCTAATGTCAGAGCTGGATTTTCTTGAGCGACGGGACGATCCGCTGTCAGTCCGAAGGCGGCTGACCCGAAGGTGACAACTTTTTGAGCTGTGTCTCGTCCATGGTGAGTTTACTGTCATGGAGCGGCTACCACGACGGCAAACTTGCCATCGCAGTATATCCACAAAAAAAAAAATGAGTATGGCTGACCACGGCTGCTCAACAGGTAAACCAAATCGTCGACCTCAAGCCGGCGGGTTGGCAAAGGTCGCAAATGTCTTAGTCGTGCCGGGCCCGGCATTTGCTCATCGGCGAGTGGAGCATCTTCCCCATGCCCCGCGGGAGCAACCCCTCCCCTTTCTAGCCAGAAAAAAAAAGCCCAATCTACCACTCAACCTCCGATATCGACGACGACGACCACCATCACCACGACATCTAAAATTCTGACAGCCCCGTTCGTCGTCGACTTTGCGCCCCCAGCGATTGTAGGACACGCGCAGATCAGTAATTGAAGTTGGCTTCGTATTCGAGATAGTACAAGGAAGCCGTCTTTTGTGTTCTGCAGCAATCGACCGCGCCAAGGTGCGACCCCGACGCGGCTACCCGGAATCCGGAAATAAAGGGCCCCTCCTCCTGCTCCTCCTCCTCATCATCTTCATCGTCCGCCGACCTCTACGACCACGCAGACGGCTTCTGTGCGAGTGTTTCTAAGCATTCTCGGACGAATAATCATCCACGGCTCATCGCACTGCTCAATTTTGAAAGCCTCCTCCAAATCTACGCTCACGTGCTTTGATCCGCCCTTCATCGAGACTTTTTCGTCACATCACGATCCAACCATGAGTGACAAGTCTCAGGTTTCGGCGGAGGCTGCAGGCGGAGAAGTCAAGCCTCTGGTGGGCTTCTTGGGCCCCCAGGCCTCGTACACGCACCAGGTAGGTACCACGAATCTGAAGAAAAGAAATCACACCTCGCACGGCATATGCCAAGTGTGGTGGGACTTGTCAATCATCTCTAACTTTATGCATCGCAGGCTTCGTTACAGGCCTTCCCAGAAGATGAATGGGATCTGAGACCCGTTGTCAACATCACAGGCACGTAACTCACCACCCTTTTTCTTCATTATGTCGTCTCTGCTGTTCTTGGCACCCACCCCCTTTTCTCATTCTCTCTATTTTTCGTTCCTGCGCCGTGGCGTGTGCTACCTCCCGTCTGACTTGAATCGGAACGCCCATCAGACATCTTCGAGGTCGTACAAGCCGGCGAAGTCGCTTTTGGCGTCGTTCCCGTCGAGAACTCAACCAATGGGTCCGTCCTGTTCACGCTGGACAACTTTGCCGATCGCAACGGCTTGTACCCAGACATTTCGGTCTGCGGGGAGATCTACCTCGACGTGCACCACTTTCTCGTCGGCCGCCGTCCGGACCCGGTTCACGACGCCGCCGCCGGCCCGGGACTACGGGGAGGAGACGAAGGCTCCGGCGCCTGCACGCCCACGGCATCGGACCCGAACCCGCTGAAGCCGCGGACGAAGCCACTGTGCAGCCTCAAGCACGTCCGGCGCCTGTACTCGCACCCGCAGGCGTGGGGCCAGTGCGTCGCCTTCTTGCAGACGTACCTCAAGGGTATCGAGGCCATCGACGTCAGCTCGACGAGCCGCGCGGCGGAGCTGGTCAGCCTGGACGAGACGGGGACGAGCGCCGCCATCTCGAGCGAGATCGCGGCGGGTATGCACGGCATCGACGTGCTCGCGCGGACGATTGAGGACCGCGAGGATAACACAACGCGGTTCTTCATCATCCGAAAGGGGCTGGACGAGAAGCAAAAGATGCCAGGCCACTGCGTGAAACCAAAGACGAAGACAAAGTCCATGGTGTCGTTCACGGTCCCGCACGAGGCTCCCGGCGCGCTGGCGGACGTGTTGGAGTGTTTCCGGCGCTACGGGACGAATCTTACGAGCATCAACAGCCGGCCGAGCCTGACGGCGCCGTTCAACTATGTCTTCTTCGTCGAGTTTGAGGGGCACCGGTTCCGGGATCCGGAGGCGAGGGTCAAGGGGGCGCTGGACGGGGTGGCTCGGGTGGCGGAGAGATGGCGGTGGCTTGGGAGCTGGGAGGACCAGCGGTCGTGAGAGGGGGAGGGACTGGCTGGTGGTCTTCCCCTCCCTTCCTCGTGACTTGGCTTGCGGTCTCTCTCTCTTTCACTCTCTATCTCTCTGTCTGGCTTCTAGGCCCTGGACTATTCCCCTTGCCTGATTCACCTTCGGCAACTCTGTGGATGTCGGTGTTAGCGACGGCCGTCTCTGGCGACTGCCGATGATCCCTGAGCAAAACGCTGACATGGCACGCGGGATATGCTTTGAGGCTACATCTGGTCTACATGCGAAATACTGAGAGCTTTTGCGGTACTGCGGCCTACAAAGGGCCACGAAAGGGGAAACGGGGCGAGTGGGCGGGCACGCCATGCTATTGCTGGGAACACACAAGGGGAGTCTATTGGACGGAACAGGCCTGGACTGGCTGACGACATCGCAACTAATGTCGATTCGAGATAAGGAGGTGCATTGTGAGGGCTGGAACCAGGTCACCAGGACCCTCCAGGAGCGTGGGAGCGTGGGATGACTGAACTGTCCCTTTCTTCGGTCCCCTTAGCCATTGTGTAATGGAAACGCAGCAAAGTGCCACCACGGAACGAAAAAAAGTCTTCTCGTCGTTCGTCTTTCTGAGGCGTTTACCTCCTGTTCTTGCCTCTTCAACCCTGGTTATATGCTGAGTCGACTCATGGATACATTGGAATGGTCTGAAAATGCCTCTTCCGACCCTGGCTCTGTGATGGAGCGATGGATACCTGGGAAGGTCTAAGATGAGCCTTTGATGGCCGAGTCTTCACGCCGAGCTGGTGGCGTTGTGAGACCTGGTTTATGGTTCAATCGTGACAAGAGGAAAAAGGGGGCCGACAACGATGACGAGAAGGACCCTCCTATTGTCCACGGTTACGGATGAGTTGTCATATGCAGAGCTTTTCCAACCCACGCAAGAGTTGGTGAAAGAGAAAAGCGACGGATCAATCGCTTCAGATCGAGCTACATGTGATGGTCTTGAGAGAGCGTCGAGAGCGTAGAAGAGACGAGCAGAGGGCTGGTCGCGTGCCCTATGTCCGAATGTCTCACAACGCCCGTCCGGCTACATTCATGGCTACGGCCACACGCACCCTCCCAAAAGGTCAGCCAACAAGATGAGCAGATTTGCCAAGCAAGCCTGATTATCTATCGTCTGGGTCCTTCTTACAATGTGTTAGCTGTCGTGAAGGATCGAGACCAAGGAGTAGAGCAAAAGTTAGTTTCGCGAAGCTCTGTACTGGGTGTGGAAGGGGTCGAGAAGCTCTTGCAACTGTTTAGCGTGGCGCGGAAGGGGGTGACCTGGGAGTTGTCGGGGTTGCCAGAAGCTCTAGGAAGCTCTGCGAAGCTCTTGCAACTTGTTGAGGTGCAACTGCTCTGTCTGCCGTGCACTTGCACACTCACACACACACACAGAGCTGAACCCCTCTTTCCTGTCTAGTTTGACTTTCCCCCCTCCTCCCTCAACGGACCGGTCCATGTCCGTTTCCTGTTGGATGTCTTTTTTCTTGTGTGGTCTTTGCCTTTTTTTCTGCCCGTCCGCCGGTCGGTGAGATTCTTCTGGTGGTGGATCGGCAACTCCACGTCCATTACGTCCAAATTACATGGACAAGACGTGCTGAAATCGCAGCACTTGCAGGACCCCTGGTTGATATGGTCTGTTGTTGAATGGCGACCAAAGTTTGGTCCTGGATCTGGGCTGTTTCCTCTCTGAATACTTACCTCTTCTCATTTCTCTTGTTGGCTCTGTTTTCTCATCCGACTCCTCATACCCAGATGCCGAGTATCTGCCGTCGCAGTCACAAAAGGGCCAGGCCGAGGTTTTTCGACATGTCGCCAGATGGAGCTCAGCTGGAGCACAATGATGCTCGTCGCTGGATCCCGCGCGAGATGGGCCCACACGACGACACACGTTCCGCCGCGGAACGTCTCCATTTGCCCTGCTTTTTTCTGGGGTCTCTTTCTTCTCTTTGAGTTGGTGACTTTCCTAACGGGACCCATTCGGGAACTTCCCTGGGGGCCTTGATGCCATGGCCGAGTGAAAACTTGCGTAAGAAAAGTACCCACGCTATGCAAGTGTCCAGATTCCCGCAAAATACCCTTTTTTTTTTTTTTCCTCGCGTCTCTTGCGTCTGCCATATTGTGTACTGTACCTATTTGCATGCTGCTTGCTGCACGCAAAAACACAGAGTTTTTTTTTTTTTTTTCCCAGCTTGTCCCATCCGACAAAAGCGGGCTTGCAACACTCGGCAGACTTTTAGTGCTGCTGGGGGCGCAGAGGCGCCTGTGTTGCAATTGGTGTGTGCCGGATCAATTCCTTGTGCTATGACGTGTAGTGCGCGTAGTAAGACAAGGTTCGCACCGCGAGGAAGGATGGGAAAAAAGAATACACTGGCGCCTTCCCCATCCGAAGAATACCTCATTGCTCAGTCAGTAGAAAGGTGTGAGGAAGTATCCAAAGGCAAAGGTATCCGTACGCAGTAGGGCAAGTACCGGAGCTGAACCGTCTGGTCTCTGGACGAGGTATCTTTGGTGTGTTTCCTGTCCGATTTTTACACTGCTTTTCGCCCGTTAACGTGGATGAGAGAGTACTTTCGTCTTACCCGACTTATACCTGCCCATCTACTTGTTGGTGTTCCCTCTTCTCCCACAATTCAAATGTCCCGAGTTGCAGCAAGGCTCAACCCAAGTGGGTGAAGTGTGGACATGGCCACACACATCCTTTCGGTACCAAGTACCGTACCCTCTCTTCCTGTTCGGCTGTTCCCTACCACCACTCCATCTTCTTTGCTCTCTTCCTCGCTCTCATCCCGTCTGAAGGGAGGGGTGGGCTCACCGGGCACCGTGTTGGCCCATGGTCCAGACGCAACAAGTACGCAGTTAGTAACTCTACGTACCTTTTTTTTGTCGTCTGGTCCGACGGCTGTCGGTCCAAGGCAGTCGGACCTGGACATGAGAGGCGTAGACAGTAGGAAAAGTGGTAGTGAATAGGCAAAGGAACGGCAGCGGCGCGAGGGATCGAGTGAGGAGCGGTTGCCGTTGCCGTGGACTGGACCGTAGAAGCGGGAGTTGCAGAGCTTCTGGGAAAGCTGAACCATGAAGGGGGGAAGAAGGACCAAACGATTTATAACCAGCTTCTCCCTCTCCCTCTCCCTCCTCGTCCCTCTTCGATTTCGCCATCGATACCTTGTTATTTCGACATTCACGATCCCCTACATCCAACATTTTTGTTGTTTAGACATCGCGACAAGAGCTTCTCACAACCAGGTGCCAATTAAGACACCAAGAAGCTCTGCAACTTTGGTTCCTTGCCTACCCGTTACCCGTTCACCCCTTGCCGGATTCCATCATCCGTCTTCCCCGTTGGCGGTTGTTCCAAAATCCAGCAAATCCCATAGGATAATTCCCCATCTTTGCTGCTGAGGTGCTTCATCATGGCCATCACGCCTTCGAAGCCAATCTTCTGCGCGACCCACCCCAGGGCCTGCTCTACAGCCTTTGAGAGAGTGAGATTTCCCAATCCCATAACGCCTGTTGGCTTGTTTCTGGCACTGCTCGTTCCTCCCTGCGTGTCTGCTCTGGGACACGAGCGAGCACGCAATCCCGCCGGACCCCAAAAACGGACAAGGTTCAGGGTGCCTGAATCGTTCCTTTTGGGGGGAAGAGAGACGGCCTGGCGGGAAGAGAGAGAGAGAGGGGAGGAACCTGTGGTGTTGAGCGAATTACCACGGGTTCATTCGTTCTGCTTGTGCAACGAAACCACCATCAGCTCGCTGCTGGGGTTACTTCTGCACAGCGAGCGCCATGTGAAGAAGAGCAGGATTAGCTAACATGGCGATTTCTCATCATTCTAGGTGTTTATGAGCCGCCGGGACAAGCTGGCGTGTGTACATGAGCCTTTTGGCGATGCGTTCTATTATGGCCCTGAGCGGACTGGTGAGCGTTTTGAGAACGACGCTGAGGGCAGAGAGAAGTCTGGCTTCGCCGAGACGACGTATGCCGATGTTCTGAGGCAAATCGAGGAGGCCGGCAAAGATGTATGTTTTTTCCTCTCCCCCTGATTCCCTTTTCCCCTCCAAAGACATATTTGCCCCTCATTATGAGGTCGTCGTCTTTCCGATCGCGATCTCACCCGCACACCCCTCCACACTATTCCCGCCCATGCATTCCCCTATAGTACGCTACTCCCCCAACCCCTGGCAAATTGAGTTGCAGAGCTTCTACGACCCCCAGTCAAAACCACTGTCAATTCCAAACTTGCCCTTCCACGCCCGAAAATGATTCAATTTTCGGTCGGAGGTGCTCTTTGAAGCTTCAAACAGAGCTTCTCGAAACTCTGGATTGATTTCGATTGAAGCGGCGTTTGATGACTGGGGGTGCTGGCGTGCGTGCACCCGGGGAAGCTTTACAACGCAGCCGCCACAATGTCGCGCATCGCCGCTCAGCGTCCCCTGGTACCCTTGCGGAGCTTTTAGAGTCGCGACCAACGTCGCATTCGACCTATTGCTCAACACCACCACCACAGAACTATGATGATGCTATATCCCAATTGCCCAGATCACTAACACCCAACCACAGAAGCGCGCCTTCATCAAGGACATGGCTTACTACATCATCCCGCCCAACCAGCAAAAAGCCTCCATTGTCCCGTCCGCCGGCAACACGGCCGAGCCCACCAACCCCACCGTCCTGCCCTTGAGCATCCTCCGCAAGTTCCAGTGGACGTTCCTGATCCGCCACCCGCGCCGCTCCATCCCCTCGTACTACCGCTGCACCCAGCCGCCCCTGGACGCCGTGACGGGCTGGACAAACTTCAACCCGTCCGAGGCCGGTTACGAAGAGCTCCGCCGTCTCTTTGATTACCTCATTCGCGAGCGCATCGTAGACGAGAAGGACTTGTTGGTCGTCGACGCTGATGACATGCTTGACGACCCCGAGGCCGTCATCCGCGCCTACTGTGCCCACGTTGGCCTCGACTTCACCGACAACATGCTTAACTGGACCGATGAGGATACCAAGGTCGCCCAGGAGAAGTTTGCAAAGTGGAACGGCTGGCACGATGATGCCATTGGCAGCACGTCGCTCAAGCCGCGTGACAAGAAGCATGTAAGTCACCCCTAACCCCTACCCCTGATCGGCTGGTGCTTTACTGTTGTTCTGTACCCCCTCCCAAACGAAAATTATTCCCCAGAAAGAGATTGGATACAAAAAAAGGACCTGCCCGTTTGCTTGGGCGCTTTTGAAATCACTTCCTTGAAACTCGCTGGATATTTTTTTGACCTTTGGTGTGGCGGACGAACACACACTAGACACTAGTGTGGGGTATATTTCGCAGCATGCTAATTCCCCGCGAGAAAAAGGTTATCACCCGTGAGTCCGAAGAGGCTGAATGGCTCAAGAAGTACGGCGAGAAGGGTCTCAAGGAGATCCGCGAGTGCGTCGATGCCAACGTCAAGGATTACGAGTACCTCAAGAAGTTTGCCATCCAGATCTAATTTCACCGTATACGTTTAAGTACGGGTACGGCTAGTTGTACACGTACGGACACACAACGTACACTTTTAACGAAGTTGATGACCAAGAACGCCCACCAACCAAGGGGTGGAATTTATACATGCATGTTTTTATTATAAAAACGGGAAATCGGGTTTCTTTTTTTTTTTTTTGAACGGAACAGTTCGATATAGGGATTCAGGGAAACCTTGGGAGGTTTTTCTATCAGGGACCTTGAAATCGGTCCATCATGGGTTCAATGTAACCGTATTGATACAATAGTCTACATGGCAGTGCCAATAACCAGCCACTTCTAACAGGACTGCGTAGATGACTCGCAAAGTCTTTTCTTCCTGAATGAACGAAAAACCGTGCCATCGCACAATACCTACTCCACGTCCACTTTTCTTGATGTACACATTTTCCCCGTATTGTGACGAAAAAGGTCTCGGCCAAAAATCTTACACGACAGTGCTGCTGCTTGCTCTCGTTCCCCTAGCTCTCGCCCCATCATAGACCTTCATATCTATACCTTGGTATCAGCCTTGGCGTCAGCCTTGCTGTCTTTCTCGTCCTTGCTCTCGTCCTTGCTCTCGTCCTTGCCCTCCTCCGCCACAGGCTCCTTGATGCTGTAGTTGGTATCGTCCCCAGCGGCCTGCACAGGCTCCGCGGCCGCCTTGGGCGCCTCCACCTCGGCGACAACCTCCTCCTCGGGGTCGAACTGGTTCTCCTCCAAGAGCGCCTTGGCGTCCTGGAACAGGTCGTGCGTGACGTTGCCGGACCACGCCTGCGCAAAGTTGCGGTCGTCCTCGTTGGCCCAGTATATCGTCGCGGGCAGCAGCTCGTCGACGGCCGGCGCCTTGGTGGCGCCCTCTTGCACCTCGCCCTCTCCTTGGCCAGACTGGCTGACAATTTCCGTCTTGGCCGGCGGCGCCTTGGACCACTTGC